ACAAAGCTACTGGATAAAAACACAGATCGAAGGGTGATAAAGGGTATTGACTATAGTAGAAGAGGTCAAATTTCAGATGGTTATGTTTTTGCAATAAAGAGGATCTTAAGGTACTTTCCCATTACACCTATCGAAGAGCAAACCGCTACTTTGAGTCATAAACAGAAATGGCTTGATAAACTCACCTCATTGCGGAACCAGAATAAAACGATTGTAATCAGAGTTTTGTACGGGATGGTTAGTTAATCCCAGTACAGTTATGTTGAACATTATTTTTCAAAGTTTTCCGGTTCCCGCAGGGTACGAAGCCAGTAGATCTAACGCTACGTTTCAGCAAAGTTGAAAAAGAAATTATACAGAGCTTAGTTTAGAGGATGATGTTGCACTTCGACAGTACCTTAAATCCTGTATCTTGCAAGAATTCTTGTTATTTAAAGTTCAAATTGACACGGTGCAGAAACCATTTTCGGATCTAAAATTTAGAAAGATGTGTGAACTTCTCGAATTAGCAATAAATATTAATGAATTCCCAAGATTTACCTGTGGCGTCGATAAACTCGATTCAGTGGGGCAAAGGATCTGATGGAATATCTTTGTAAGGACCTGAGGTTCCACTATAACATGATTTACGGTAAAATCAAGGCAAATGCGTTTCCCTGTTTCTTATAATCACGACATATTCTTTGGTGGGCATTGCGAAGGCAAGTATGGCAGAAGACGGCCTGATTTTTGCTTATGTCTCTTTGAAGCAATTATAGGTGTTATTGAGGTAAAAAAGGAGAATCTCAATTGAGGCATAATCATTTTTTAAGTGTTTTTTTTTATTTTGATTCGTATTACTTGATTTTTTTTAGAATTTTCAATTACATTTGTCACTTGAAACCAATCAAAAACTTAGGCGTGGTGAAATCGATGAGTTTGCTGATAAACATACGGAATCGTAACTAATGGCTGAACATAGTATTTTACTGAATTTGTGATGAATGGCAGTATATCAAAAATAAGCATTCATTTTGAAAAACCTACTATTTTAGATTTGGCTAAGGAGTTCGAGCCTTTGGAAAAGAGTGCAAGAGGAATTTTAGATAGAATTGTCTGATTGTTGAGAAAAGTGGTGTCATATTTTGGCAATATATCAAAACAGAAGGTAATTAATTAGAAATTCATGTGAATGTATAAAATATGTATCTACAATAAATTCAAAAGCTGTAATTAAATTCTTAATTGACATAAGTCAGCCCAATAATTACAAGTCAAGCGAAACAAGAAAAAGAAATAATTTTATTTGAATTTACATATTTATATATATTAAAATTGACATTGATCTAAGAAAAAACAAATTCTAAGCACTCCTGCTCTATATTCATGATTTTCCTTATCTTTGAATCCCGTCACCCTCCATTCTATGGTCATTTCCCCATTCGAAGATAATCTTGATTTTGATTTCTTTTTTGGTTGTACATTCATATTTTCATCATTATATTGTAACTGATTATGATTTACTGACATATTTTGCTTTTTTGGTACATAAAGCCGAACAAAACTTTGTTGACCATTTCCATAATGGCGCCGGTACCAATGTTCCTTACCAAATATTAGCCCAATTTTTTTTATGGCATTTTCTCCCTTGAAACTGCATATGTAGAAGGAACCGCAAGGTGAATAACGCGTAATGTAAGCTCCAAAAATACCCACAAATGCATTTTCACTACAATGTAATGAAAAAACTTGTTCTCCAACAGCATGATAATTATTTTTAAGTCTCTTCTGTAATTCCTTAACAATAACATTTTTTAGGTGACTAAGTTCTAAATCGGGTATTTTTTGAATATGATTTGGTAATAGGTTATACGTCGAATGTTTAATTGTTTCATGCCGTTGTAACCCAGAACAACTTTTATATGATCGCGCACATATAGTACAATAGAGTCTAGTGAGATTGCGATTTGTAGACATCTATTAAAAAAAAAAAATAATAATTTATTTATAAAGTAATAATTACTATTAAATTAATAATTTCATATATCTTTAAAAAAAAATGGATGGGTTGACCAGGTTTTGGATGGGTTGGCCATATTGTTTATATTTGAGTTGTTTTATTTTTGACTACTTGTTGATAAATCGTTATATGAGATTGGGGCACATGACTATAAAAAAAAAGACCAATAATTAAATACTTATAAAATCGAGGGCACATGATTATATAAAAAAAGATCCAAATAATTGAATGCACTCATATGATGAAGTGACTGTATCTAATAGAATGTATCATCTTGATTTGGATCTTTTTCAGTATCAAATTGAATATATACAAGAATTACTAAAGGACCTTTGTGGTCTTTCACTTTATAATAAAATAGATTAAAGATTTGTACAAATTCCAAGATTTCCAAGATTTCCAAGATTAAAAATTTTTTTACATAATATTCAATCTATTGCAAGACTAACTGCAGATGAATATAAAAATCTAATAAAAGTTAAAAATAAATAAAAACTCTTTCCCGATTGCATCAAAACTACCAAATTAGAAAATATCCAAGAAAACAAAATTTCGTCTCAAGAAAAAAACAAGGAGGAGGGAGGCCCTCCTCCCAAACCTCCCAACCCAAACCATGAATATACTCTCCTCGATATAGTCC